TATATATATATATATATATATATATATATATATATATATATATATATATATATATATATATATATATATATATATATGCGTGTCTGTGTGATGTATGTAAAATTTGGCCCGGGACAACGTGTTTTTTTTTCATCTGGCCCTCAGCCCAAAAAGTTTGGACACCCCTGCCTTACATCTCTTAAAAGGGGAAAAATAGGTACCCTTAAAAAATGTAACGTAAATATTGAGGAAAAATAGTCTAAACTATTTAAGGGAGGATGGTCGGAAAAGTCAGAGAAACTAATAAAAAAGTGATTTTACCCTTGCAGAGAGGAGCAGGGCCGCTCCAGGTGCCGTTGGTGGTACAGTATAAATCTTGGGTCCCGATCAGAGCTCCAGTCTGACAGCGATACGACACCATGTGCCCGACAGGAACATCTTCATTCCTGAAGTCTGAAACCTCTGCATCTTTGACCTCAGGTGGAGGAGGACAATAAACAGCTAAAAACACACACACACACACACACACACACACACACACACACACACACACACACACACACACACACACACACACACACACACACACACACACACACACACACACACACACAGGTTATAGTTTTGTAAATTTTTAGGGACATTCTATAGGTTTCTATTGATTTTATAGTGTACAAACTGTATTTTCTGTCCCCTACACCAGGGATTCCCAAACTTTTTTGCCCACGACCCCCAAAATAACAATGTCAGTGACTCGCGACCCCCAATATCTTCTGAGTTGGTTATAAATCCAAAAATCTTGCATGCAATGGCGCCCACACCAATAAACCACTAATAAACAATTCTTCGTTGATTTTTTTGTAATGTCTGTCAGTGCTGTAAATAGGCTAGAAAGTTTAACCTGGTGTTATAAAATCAATCTGCTGCATCTGACGCTATTGCTGTGTCTTTAATGTAATGTAATTACCCCTAGGGGTGCAATCCAATAGAAATAGTAACTAAAAGCTACTAAAGTAACTATATACAGTAGTACATAGTAACAATAAACAACTATATTTTTCTTTTTTAGTAGGTTATGAATAAAATATGGTAATTCTTATGGTTTATGAAAAATAAATAGATTTTTGGAAATCACCAGGCGACCCCCATTCATTGTCCCGCGACCCCTCGGGGGGTCCCGACCCCCACTTTGAGAACCACTGCCCTACACCAACACTACACCAAAAGCCTGGTTTGCACCCATGGCGCATGCAATGCGCGTAGCTCTGCATTTATACTCCTGCTGCTGTTTGTGTTGCTCTGCAATAACACTTCTGAACCGCTAGTTGGCAGTGAGGTGTTTATGTTCCTCTTTGTCGAGTTTCTTCGCTGGTGTTTTGTTTTTTCTGAACGCTTATTTACTGTAAAAGTGGCTCAAACTCGCTCATTTTGAGGCGGGAACCAGCGGACGTGCAACAACTTTAATCATAAAGTAAACACAACACAAAATGTTCCATCTGGAGCTCCTTCATGGGTCTTCACACTTGTAAACACTCGCTTCATCAGACATAAACACACACACACACGTACTGGCATAAAAACAGCCCCTCAGGCCATATGCAACTAAAATAGCTAGCAGATCAGTTGCTATCTGTTTACCTAGTCATAAACAATACTGTTTATGACTTCAGTAACCAATATAGCAACTTATATGTAAATACTTTAATAAAAGTAATTTATTTCTTATTTGTACAGTTAAACACACATCACAAACCATCTGCACATAAACATCTAGATCTATATACTGCAAAAAGACATCTGTTATGGAACAGTTTCCATATTCAGTGATTCACAAGTGTTTCTGTTCATTTACAGTTGTGAATTGCATTATGGGATGTTGATCTCTGCTCTGTCGAATTTTGATGTTGAAAATTCTACAGTTTAACAAGGTGACTTTTATTGACATTTTAGTAGTTTGAAATAATTTAACATGTAAGAAAGATAAGAGAAATATAAAGAAATAAATATATCTCATAGAGAAATAAGTCTGTAAAAACAAAAAATCCACAGTTTATTACAAAGTGTTTGTAGCGTAATATGTAACACCAACACAGGCAATATACCACTTTAAACTATTAAATATCTTCATAAAACTTTTAAACATGTTCACTTTGTGAATTTCAAACTAATTTCAAGTGGAGCATGCGCTTATTATTGATCACGGCTAGTCCCGCATTAACTAATGCATGACTCACCAATCAGCCGATTCCTAACTCACTATAAATAACCAGAGTTACTTACTTTAGTTATCTTCGCCTTGAAGAATCCACCCTTCCACCCCCTTTCTCTTTATATAGCAGCACGGCAGCCAAGCGGTTACCACTGATGCCTAACAGTAAGAACGTCACTGGTTAAGGTCCTTAAAAGGCCAGTTGTCTTTTCTGTGCGTACTGTAGTTTACATGTTCTCCCCATGCTCATGTTGGTTCCCCCAGGTCCTCTAGTTTCTTCCCGCAGTCCAAAACACATGTGCATAAGTGGATTGATCAATCTAAATTAGCACTATAGCAGAGCTCTTAACCAGCAGTATATCTCATTTATTCATTCATTCATTTTCTTGTCGGCTTAGTTCCTTTATTTATCCGGGGTTGCCACAGCGGAATGAACCACCAACTTATCCAGCAAGTTTTTACGCAGCGGATGCCCTTCCAGCCGCAACCCATCTCTGGTAAACATCCACACACACATTCGCGAAGGCAGGGAGAACATGCAAACTCCATACAGGAACGCCAACTTAGCCGAGGTTCGAACCAGCGACCTTCTTGCTGTGAGGCAACAGCACTACCTACTGCGCCACTGCCTATATCTCTATAAAGCAATTTCTATTTTGTTATTAGCCCTAAATAATAACAGTTCTCGAGACCAACCTGAGCTTAAACTCCCCTCTTGCCCTGCACACGGGAGGTAGCTCTGGGCTCGAGGATCCTTTAAGCTCAGTGCTCTCTCCTGGGACAGCATGCCAAACATGCTTTATAACCACTCATCAGCTGAGTGTGAACTCTTTATAAAGGTTAACAAGTTGTTGGAAGAAAACCAAATTACCATAATGGCATTTAAAAGCATAAATAAATGGCGGGGGGGGGGATAATCACACAATATGGAAATCTGCTACTTTATAGATATTTTTAAGATATTTAATATATTTATTTTTAAATTATTTAAATGTCTTTTTGTTGATGTGTGTGTATGTACCCTGAGCCCCTGTAAACCGCAAAACAATCCTTGTGTGTGTGTTTGCGCCCACTTGGTGAATAATTAAGTCTGACTCTAATATCAAGGTGAAAAAGTAAAAAAAAAAAAACACGTCTTACGTTCACACACAGGGATCCTTCCATCCCATCCTCCATCCCGACAGACTCGCTCCTCTGGGCCAATCAGCTCATACCTGACCAGACAAACACACACAGACATCAGATAACATTTACATGCAGATGCTAAGTGCTATTCAAAGGGAGTTTTTTCTAATTAATTTTTTTTTTTTGCATGGCCTTCTCTCATATAAAATACAATTAAACGTAATTTGCAAATATAAAAAATAATTAGAGACATCAAAAATGCTAATGCTGACAGTAAAAGCAAATAACAATGACAACTACCACTTTTTTATTTATTAATGTTTTTAAAGGAGACCTAATATGCCCCTTTTTACAAGACGTAAAATAAGTCTCTGATATTCCTAGAGCAGTGGTCACCAAACTTGTTCCTGGAGGGCCGGTGTCCAGCAGATTTTAGCTCCAACCCTAATCAAACACACCTGAACAAGCTAATCAAGGTTTTACTAGGTATACTTAAAACATCCAGGCACATGTGTTGAGGCAAGATGGAGCTAAACCCTGCAGGGACATCTGCCCTCTAGGACCAGGATTGGTGACCCCTGTCCTAGAGTGTGTGTGTGTGTGTGTGTGTGTGTGTGTGAAGTTTAAGCACAAAACACCACACAAATAATGTTTTATAACTCTAAAAACTGACCCGTTTAGGCTTTGATCCTAATTGTGCCATTTTGGCGACTGTCACTTTAAATGCAAATGAGATAGTGCTCTTTTCAAAAGAGGGTGGAGCTACAAATGCCTGTGCGTCAGCATAGTGGCCGATTCAAAAACAAGACTAACGATATCTCTATGCAAATGAGGGAGACAATAACAAGTGGGTGGGGCTTTCCTCTCTGATGACACGTACAAAGGGAGAATGTCAATCAAATTGTTTCTGCAGACTGTTGTTATCAGGTGTGATTATAGCAAATACAACTTAACATATTTACCATTAGAATACTGTTTTTTACTGGTTATATTCACACACTGCCTACACACACCTTAAACCCCTTATAAAGTGATTTTTGGCAAGACATCAATGTATGCTCTGTTCTGTTACAGAATCAGAATTAAATTGAATCTTCTAATAAAACCATTATTGTAAACGTAATGTTCTAATATAACAGAATTAGAATTAATCACAACAACAAAAAGAAAGTGTTTGTCTGTTTCTCACCCTTCCTGACAGATGGCTCTAGCTGAATCTCCGAATAACACTCCGCTGTACTGAAAGCGGCCGAAGGAAATCTCTCCAGCAGAACCACAGCTTTTCCCTTTGTACAGAAACACACTGTTTAATGCCAGGAAAGCCAAGAATGTGGATCTGTGTTTTTCTGCTATGCCAGAAAACAACTGACAGAGAAAGACGGAGATGGAATAAAAGGGAAGAATTCATTGTATAATCAAAGCTTGATGCAATCTGACCAGCACTAATCCAGCAGGTGTTATTATATACAGGACAGTAAACCGCAATGGAAAGTCACAGCTGTCTGGTGAAAACATCTCCCAAACTCTTAAATATGAATACACTTTAAAGACACGCAATCAGGTTATTAAATATTACAGCAAATACTCCAAGACAAAGGAAAATATATACAACAATAAAACTTGAAGAAATGGTTTTGGACTCTTCTAAAGCATGAACATAATGCTTAAATGTTTTTGGTGATATTTAAGAAACATGCCAAGAGGTTATCATATGTGTTTATCTGAAAACAAGTGATGAATCAGTTATTCTCTTCATTAAATCTCTGTCATTGTTTTGGTCTGAGCAACATGTTAAAGTTTCTGCTGATTTGAACATTCTTCAAAACATTTGGCATAATGCAAGTACAAAATTCAGCTAAATATCAGTGACGTCAAACAATGAATCACAACCAAATTAAAGTTTTTGTTTACATATTATATACAGTATGTGTGTACTGTGTATATTTGAGTATGTGTATACATATACAGTCAAAAATTACTCTTGCTGCTTGTTCAAACTACTTATTTAATATTAGTTTGTTTAAGATTTTTCGAAGCAACCTAATTATTTTATGTTCAATCCACTTAAATTTGCAAAAGCGATGGAGATAACTTATTTTGATTTGTGTTGGGACAATATGAAGTAAACGTATGGAACCCAGCATGTTTTTTTTTGTTTTTTTTTTGTATAAATGCACACACATACTGTACATAATACAATACATATATCTATATAAACTGCTCAAAAATAAAGGGAACACTAAACTAACACTACATAGATCTGAATAAATGAAATATTAAATACTTTATTCTTTACACTAGTTGAATATGCTGAAAAACAAAACTTTTCTGAACAAAAATCAGACAAACAATATCAAAAGAAATCATTTATTAACCAATGGAGGTCTGGATTTGATGTCACACTCAAAATTAAAGTGGAAAAACACTTCAGGCTGATCCAACTTTGATGAAATGTAATTAAAACAGGTCAAAATGAGACTCAGTAGTGTGTGTGGTCTTCATGTGTCTTTATGTCCTCCCTAATGCCTGAGCATGCTCCTGATGAGGTGGTAGATGGTCTCCTGACCTAGACTAAAGCATCACCAGCTCCTGGACAGTCTGTGATGTAATGTGGCATTCGTGGATGGAGCGAGACCTAATGTCCCAAAAATGCTCAATTGGATTCAGTTCTGGGGAATGGGCGGGCCAGTCCATAGCATCAATCACTTCATCTTGCAGGAACTGCTGACACACTCCAGCCACATGAGGTCTAGCATTGTCTTGGCATTTGGAGGAACCCAGGGCCAACTTCATCGACATGCTCCCACAAGGGGTCTGACGATCTCATCTCAGTACCTAATGGCAGTCAGGCTACCTTTGGCGAGCACATGGAGGGCTATACGGCCCTCCAAAGAAATGCCACCCCATACCATAACTGACCCACTGCCAAACCGGTCATGCTGGAGGATGTAGCAGGATGTATAATGTTCTCCACAGCATCTCCAAACTCCGAACCTGCTTTCATCTGTGAAGAGCACAGGGTGCCAGTGGCAAGTTTGCTAATCTTGGTGTTCTCTTGCAAATGCCAAATGTTCTGCATGGTGTTGGGCTGCAGGCACAACCCTCACCTGTGGAGGTTGGGCCATCATACCATCCTCATGGAGTCTGTTTCTGACTATTTGAGCACACACATGCACATTTGTGGCATGCTGGAGGTCATTTTGCAGGGCTCTGGCAGTGCTCCTCCTGTTCCTCCTTGCACAAAGGCGGAGGTAGCGGTTCTGCTGCTGGGTTGTTTCCCTCCTTTGGCCTCTACTACGTCTCCTGATGTACTGGCCTGTCTCCTGGTAGCACCTCCATGCTCTGGACACTACGCTGACAGACATAGCAAACCTTTTTGCCACAGCTCACATTGAAATATGTACATGTGTATATAAATATATATATATATATATATATATATATATATATATATATATATATATATATATATATATATATATATATATGAGCAATACCACACTTGTAACAGTGCGATATGGCTTTATATCGGCACTGGTGGGAGCCGTGCATTGGTGCGTTGGCTTAGTGCCCCCACCAGTGCCGATATACAGCCATATCGCACTGCTACGAGTGTGATATTGCGTTTATACAACAGTTTGACGGCATAATTGTGTATATTAAAACAAAATCAAACATGGAGAGTCTCAAAAACCCTTTTGAATGAGGAACTACTTTCTTCCGCCTTGGATTATAATCATAAGCTGACAGTTAAACAGCTGAGCAAGCATCTTTTAAACTTTAGATCTGTAGTGTCTGCTTTTTGCTGGTTGTATGTGGGCGGAGTAATACACAAAGGGTAAAGAGGCTTTACGGGTGCTGATATTACTTAAATATATCACGGCTATCAGCCAATCAGATTTAAGAACCAGACAGAACTTTTGTATGTATATATATATATATATATATATATATATATATATATATATATATATATATATATATATAAACAAACAATTTAATACAATATAGTTATGCATATATTTATATTACACAAAAATATACATAGTATGCACAAATATACTTTGTAAACATAAACCTTTATGTTGGATGTGATTAATCGCAATTAACCGTTTGAAAGTTGTACAAAATGTGGTACACTGTTCTAGTAGTTTTTGGATACTTCAATGGAAAATCGTATACGTTGTACCTTATAACAGTGAATAAGACTAAAGTGAGATCATATGTGAGTATTATTTCTTACGCTGACATCGGAGTGCCAATTTTGTCCACTCTCCACCCTGACAGCGTATGATGTCACTTCCAGAGGCTCGGCGAAGTCCTAGATTACATTTATACCGAATACGAGCACCGGATGAGTACTCAGCCAATGAGGGCGTCCCTTCTCTGAAGAACACATTGTGATGGAGATATGATGGAGGTGGACCACATTTACCTGCGAGAAAAATACAATAAGAGTCCTGTCAATATTATACACACTTCAATATATATTAATTTAGATTAAAACTACTTTGTTGTGTTCTGTGGAATACACATATTTGACTAAAATAATAGTAAATATTGTAAAATATTTTTTACAATTTAAAATAACTAAGAAAACATTTTAATGATACCCTAAAAAGAAAATCTGAGATCACTATATGGAAATGGCAGTATTATAAGCCACGTTCTTGTTTAAATTCCCCAATAAAAAACAGGCCAATCAGAGCACAATTCCTCCCTTATTTTTTAAGTCGATCAAAGGTTATAACACTTACCATATACAGTTGAAGACAGAATTATTAGCCCCCCTGTTTATTTTTTCCCCAATTTCTGTTTAACGGAGAGCAGATTTTTCTTCAACACATTTCTAATCATAATAGTTTTAATAACTCGTTTCTTTTTATCTTTGCCATGATGACAGTAAATAATATTTTACTTGATATTCTTCAAGACACTTCTATACAGCTTAAAGTGACATTTAAAGGCTTAACTAGGTTAATTAGGTTAACTAGGCAGGTTAGGGTAATTAGGAAAGTTTTTGTATAACGATGGTTTGTTCTGTTGACTATCGAAAAAAAAAAATAGCTTAAAGGGGCTAATAATTTTGTCCCAAAAATGGTGTTTAAAAAATTAATAACTGCTTTTATTCAAGCCAAAATAAAACAAATAAGACTTTCTCCAGAAGAAAAAAATATTATCAGACATGATGTGAAAATTTCCTTGCTCTGTTAAAAAAATTATTTGGGAAATATTTAAAAAAGAAAAAATCATTTAAAAAATCAAAGGGGGCTAATAATTCTGACTTCAACTGTATATGGAACTATAATTTAGAAAATTGGAGATGTCGCTAAGTCAAAGCCAGCAGCACCAGTTTAATTGTTATGCGTTTCTAAGCAATGACACTTTAGAGATTGTCAGAATGCAAAATGCAGGATATACAAATTAGAAATGCATTCAGCTCCACTCCAAAAAGGCATAAGATACAATTAATTGTACCTTTTGTTAATTTATCTTGTTTATTGTGAAATATCAGCTGGATATGTTTGTAATTTGAAGTAACAAACACATGTAGACTGCTGAGTATTGAGTTTTATCCACGTTTAAATATCGAATCAATCACTCAGCTCTTACATTTTTTTTTTCAAGTGAAAGAACAGAAGTACACTTTATTAAACGTCATCATTGGTTTATGCAGATATTGATATTAATTATTGTCTGTGTTTATGTTACATTTTACAACACAAATACATCACAATTCAAAATACAACACAATACATCTCTTTTGTTAAGTTTAATTATAATTTAGAATATATTTTATTTCAGCTTTCTCTGTCTGGTGGTTTATATTAGAAAGCTCACTCGCTTCATGTTAAAAAAAAAAACCTATACTACTTAAGAAGATTTAACAAAGCATCTACTCCGTCTGTTAAAATATTGTTTTAGAAGAAGTATGATTTTTTTGCAAATGTTTATTTTAGAGTGCATCATGCTGTGTGTGTGTTCATGTGAGATAAAGAGCAAGCACTGAGAGCTGAGCTCTTCAATATTCATGACCTTCCAAATATGGTCAATAAGGACATTCTGATTCTAGGGGTCATTTAAGAAATAATAAACTAGGTTATAAAGCTATGTCTGGAGTATTTTTTTTCTTAATTTACACAAGTCACATACCTTCTATGAACATACCTGTCAACATTGGGATGTGAAAATAAGGGATATCTCCTCTAAAAAAATGTAAAAATTACTAAATATGTTAATTTGTAGCTGTTTCATTGTAAATAAACAGTTAAATAGTCAGTAATATGTTTTATTATTATTATTATTATTTACAAAAGAAAAAATATATACATTAGCAGCAAATACATTAGAAAACAGTGCAGCCTATTATAATAGCTGTTATAATGAAATAGAATCAAGCTATCAAAATTCATTAGCCGTTTCTTCACTGTATAACTTACACATTCTGATTAAAGAGTAGTGAATGAATCTCATTTATTTAGAATTTTTTTCGTTTGATTACATTAAATAACAGGTGTCACTTTAAAAATGCACACATCTAACAATATAATAAAGGCATTCGACTGTTTTCTAAAATTTTATGCTCATTTAAGACGAAATTAGTTGTATTTATAAAAAAAAAAAAACACCAAGATCGACATCTTTAGATTTTATTATTATTAATTATGTGTATATGTCTGTTTAAAACACGCACCCAAAAGCCAGACTTTCACTCTGCTTAAAATCACGTGTACAGAATCCGCTTGGGAAACAGCATCTGTTTATCACTATGAAGCGCGTCACCTGACAGTCACGCACCATTATATGACTGTTTTGAGGATTGCATATGAAGGGGAGACGGCCTATGTAATGAAAAGGAAGGGGAATCACACCATTTTTATATTTATTTATTTATTTAAGTGTTTTCGTGCTTAAAGTGAAAGCACAGAATAGACTCACATTTAAGAGCAAGGGGCGGCCCCTGGTGGTTCGGTGGTATGGGTTGCGTATAGGGAGGCTCGGCTCTTTAATGTTTCTAGCCACCCTTCAGAGAAACACTGAGAATACGGGAGAAATACGGGAAAATACTTTTACGGGATAATAGCGGGATAGAACTGTAAAATACGAGAGAATCCTGGGCAAAATAGGAGGGTTGACAGGTATGTATGTAAATGTCACAGAACAATTTAGCTTATTAAATCAATGCAGTTTAAAGCTCCTTTAAGCTACATTTACATTCCTGCGATTTAAATCTGAATTATTACCACTGATCACAATTCCAAATGTTTGAGTGCTCAAATAATATTATTTTTATTGCATCTACCGTTAGCTAAATCTCTTATAGTCATTCTTGCTATTGGCTGTCTGGTCAGAATAAAAAAACAAGAGTGAAATATTTTAAATGATTGGCGAGGAAAAATGCTATTTGCATTGATATTTATTAAACAAGAGTGTCCTCAAAATAGCTTAATTTGACATTCCTGTGATTCAGTTCTGAATTTTAAGCATCATTATTAGTCACACGATCACAATTCCAAACTTTTTAGCTCTCGAATAATATTATTAATGCACCTACCGTTAGCTAAACGTGTTTTAGGGTGACACTCGGGCAAGCTTTGCCATTGGCCGTCTGGTCCACATGTGACCTGCGGTGAGCCAATCAGATCAAAGCCCTCGCTGCAGATGATGCTCACAGTGTCTTTGGGTTTGAACGTGTTGCCAAATTCATTGATTCTTCCATTTGCCACAGCGGGTGCAGAGCAGAGGTTTACTGAAAATAATCAATAGTAAAAATATTATTTTATTGATTATGAAAAATGCTATTTGCATCGATATTTATTAAATGAGACTGTCCTCAAAATGGCTTAATTTGACAGGAATTGAAACAAATAAAAGTTCAGAAAATTCTCAGATTCTTTACATTTGCTGAATTTGCTAAGGTATGAGCTTTAGTTATTATTTTGAGTATATTTATTCCTGTGATTCAGTACTGAATTTAAAACATCATTACTATAGTGTTCAGTGTCACATGATCAAATGCAAATGTTTGAGCATGCAAATAATAACATTATTAATGCCTTTACCATTAACTAAATGTTTTTTAGGGCGACACTCAGGCAAGCCTTGCCATTGGCCGTCTGGTCCACATGTGACCTGCGATGAACCAATCAGTTCAAAGCCCTCGCTGCAGGTGATGCTCACAGTGTCTTTGGGTTTGTGCTGGTTGCCGAATGCATTGATTCTTCCGTTTGCCACAACGGGTGCAGAGCAGAAGATTACTGATAAAGAAACAATGGAGAAAAAATATTGTATTATTGGTGATGAAAAATGCAATTTGCATTGACATTTATTAAACAAGAGTGTCCTCAAAATAGCTTAATATCACAGAAATAAAAAAAAAGACCTGATAATTCTCAGTTACTTTAGATTTGCTGAATTTGCTAAGGTCTACATTTAAGTAAAGCTGCAGTTTGTTCCTGTGATTCAGTTGTAAATATAACGCATCAATACTAGTCTTCATTGTTACGTGATCACAATTTAGAAACTCTCAAATAATATTATTAATACACTTACCGTTAGCTGAACGTCTTTTAGGGTGACACTCTGGCAAGCTTTGCCATTGGCCATCTGGTCCACATGTGACCTGCGGTGAGCCAATCAGTTCAAAGCCCTCGCTGCAGGTGATGCTCACAGTGTCTCTGGGTTTGTGCTGGTTGCCGAATGCATTGATTCTTCCGTTTGCCACAGCGGGTGCAGAGCAGAGGATTACTGAGGAAAAAGGAAAACATTGATGAGGAAAAATGCAATTTGCACTAATATTTGACAAACAAGTGTGACCTCATAATGACTTCATTTGACATGCAGCTATGAAAAATCATCAGGAGGCATCAACATTCTCAGTTTTTCTGCATTTATTAAATTTACTCGGGTATGAGTTTGAGTAAATTGTTGCTTTTTTTTTATTCTATAAAAGCCTATAATAACAGTTTTTCCTTTTTTTTTTTTGCAGAAACTTAAGTAGGTATTGCTGCAGCCCGAAGACCTCCAAGTGGGCGGGATAACACCGCAAGTAGGTTGGATTTAGGAGGTGTAGGGGCAATAAACATCAATAAAACACATGGGGCTCTATTTTAACAATCTAGGCGCAAATAGCGCAGTCCAAAGCACAGGGTCAGAAAAATCTGTTTTGCGCCTCGGCGTATGGTCTAACAGGGTTGAGCTTATTCTCTTAATGAGTTCTGGGTGTGTTTTGAAAAATAAACCAATCAGAGTGTCATCTCCCATTCCCTTTAAGAGTTTGCGCCGCGCCATAGTGTATTTGCTATTTACATGGCGGACTTTGTAAGTGTAAAACTGATCGCTTCACTAGCGAGAAAACAGTTAAACAGACCATCTGCATTCTTTACTTTCACTTTCACACTCTTTCGTGGAAAAGGAAACGTGTTGTACGCACAGACATCCATTAGCCTACATAATTAATTTTGTTTATTAAGCGCAAAGATTTGTTTCAAAACTGTTTCTAAATTCATTTCTAATTTCCAGCAAACGAATAAATGAACAATAATAACGAAGTATGCTCAGACAACTGAGTTATATCCAGATACACATGCTCCTCAAAATAGCAATGCGCCAACAACGCACCTTAACACACCTCTTATCTAGACTGAAACACCCATGAGTCCACAAAGTGGCGCAGTTAGATTTGCTATTTAAACAACGTGGAGGAAAACAGAAAAATTCTGGTCTGAAAATAGCATCACATCATAGAAACACGTCTTGTGCCTTATTGCGCCGGGTGTATGATAGGGCCCATGAGGTTACTGTGAAGTTGGGTTTAAGGTTGGGATAGGTGTAGACATTCATAAAGCACAATATTGAACTCATATGTGTCATGTACAAGATATTAAATAAAAAAAATCCCCAGGGTTGTACAGCCCACATGGAGCTCAAGTCCCACACACTTGGAGCTGGCTCCAACCTCCACTTAAACCTTTCTCCAGAAATTGGTCAGAATACGAAATGTTTACATTAAAAAGGTTGTAAAGGTAAAATATCAGTATCTGAAAACAAACCACCATTTGGTAAAAATAAAAACCCTCTAAAATTAAACTATACAAAATTAAATTTACTAAAATCTGCTATATTACTAAACATAGCTATACAAAATCGAGAACACTTTAAAGTGCTCTTACATTTTTATTAGGGATGTAACAATATTGTAAATACCGTCATACCGCAATAGTAATTTTTTTCAATATTACTGTAGGCGCATGACTCAATAAAACTATATTTCTGAGAAAAGTTTGCTCAGGCGAATGAAGCGAACGGGAGGTAGCGGGAACTACAATTCCCATCAGCCTATGCGTGGCCATCATCCTTTGCGGTCTGTTGTCACTACAGATCCAGTAATGCGGAAATGGAGTGTGTTGCTAGTAGCGGGGAAGAAAAAGAGCTGGAAATGATCAAACCTAAAGCGAGTTTTAAATCGGATGTGTGGAAGCATTTCGGAAAAGGTGACAGACAAAGAAAAAAACAATATGCAGGCACTGCCAGACTGTGGTGAAATATAAGTCAAGGAATACGACTAAAGACACAGCACATGTTAGATTGATGCAGACATTCACTTGTACCGCAAAGAGACCTCTATCTCACATGGCTTGTCCTCTCAAGTGGTGGAAAGACAATGCACAACGTTACCCACTGCTGTCAACCTTGGCTAAATCATATCTCTCTGTCCCAGAAACCTCAGTCCCAAATGAGAGGGGTTTTTCTGTTGCAGGAGACATTATAAATGCCCAGAGATACCAGCTTTTACCAGATTATAGTTATATGATAATTTTCCTTAAAAAAGCCCATCTCTATCTAAGTGAGTGAGTGATTAAATGTTGAATGTGATGAGTTTTCAACAATACTAAATTAAAACTTTATTTGTTTTATATGGTTTTATAGTTTTTTGTTATTAAAATTGAAAAATTTAAGTTCCTGTTTCAAAACTTACAGATAGATGGCTAATTTGTATGTCATTGATGTGTTCAGTGCAAAGGTAAATAAGGACTTTTGACACTTTTTTCGAGTATTTTCATTAGTTTTGTTTACCTGTAAATTACTCAATAAATACTGTACCGTGCCATTCATACCGAGGTATTACCGTACCATGAAATTCTGATACCGTTACATCCCTAATTTTTATACATCACGCTAAACACTGGGATGTTAACCCAACGTTTGCCAATCATAATATTAATGTCTACACAACAATAGATTTTATTTTAAGTACCCAAATGTCTATTCGGTTATCTCAAGTCACACATTGACTTTTTACCCAAAAATTTATGTCAACCTAATATTTATTCCCAACAAAAAATCCAGTGTTGCTTGAGGAATTTAAAAAAAAGCAAGAATATCCCCTTAGCAAGTACCAAGATTTCTGTGTATCTCTGGAAATGGTGTTTAAATCAATTGTGAACAAAGTATAAGTTACCTTTACGGTGACACTTTGGCAAGTCCCGCCATTGGCCGTCTGGTCCACATGTAACTAAAGATGAACCAATCAGATCAAACCCTTCACTGCAGGTGATGCTCACAGTGTCTTGCGGCGTATATTGTGTCCTTTCTCCAGGTTTTATAGATCTGTTTTCCACAGCAGGTGCTGAACAGGTCATCTTTGGCACTAAAATTAGAAAAAGAAAAAATAAAGTGTTAAAAGTATGACGTGAGCTTTTTATACAACCCTTGACAAAAAGTATGGAATTACCACTCTTGGAAAATGTTTGTTCAAATGTTTAAATGTGCAGAACAAAAAATAAATAAATCCCAGACATGCCATGAAACTACTGCAATGAATTTGATAGATCAGAGGGAAACAGATATAATATAATAATACGTTTAAAAATAAAGCAGACTGCTTGGCGGATTTCACCGATTGCAGGTCATTTTTTAAAACGTAACTCCTGCGATTAGGCATGGGATGATCACCGTTTTTAAGGTATGCAGCGGTTTGGAAAAGTTTATTATTATTTTTGTTTTGTTTTTTAGCACAACAGTATCTCCAGCAGAAAAGATCTCCAAAGATGCCATTTTAAAATGTAAAGAAATCTGTGTTTTAGAAACTAATGAACACAGCAGAAGTCAATGACTCATTTTCATTATTTAGCCTGACATGTTTACTGCTCCAAAATATTGCAATCTTTCAAAAAAAAAATTTAAGTTGAAAACAAAAACTTTTGTTTTCAAAGGATAATTTTTTTTTGTTTTTTACTCAGCATATTTAAAAAGAGCATATTTTAGAGAGAAGAGCACAATATCGTGAAACCGTGATATTTTTATCCAAAGTTATCATACCGTCAGAATGTTTTACCGCCCCATGCCTACCCGCTATTAACGAGGGACCACTGTATTACAAAAATATATAAATAAACATTAATTTTTTGTAATATATTTGGTAATTCCACAACTATAATATCAAATGTTTTCAATGAACACAACTGCAACTAATATAGCATTGCAGTAACAAAATAATTCCTTAGATTAAGCACACATCAACATTTTCTCAACAAAAATAGTGAAAATGCATACAGACATATTTTGCCAAGACATTTTATTGAAGTATTCACACAACTTCAGGTTGATTGCTAACTTAAAGAATACTTCATGAATTGAGTTTGAGCTGTTGTTAATTATAAATTAAAAATATTATTTACAACATAACAGTAATGAATAAATACACATAAAACCATGAGATGTGTGACTGACTAAAAGATACACTATTGGAGTGCTGATTCAAAGCTACTGTCAAGCTAATGAAAATGTAGATAAGCTTTAGTTAAGCTACTCTAGCTAGCTTTTCCCCAACCTCACACAAAAGTTTCGTAATTTTCTCTCCACTTATTCCAAACCTATTTGTGTGTGTGTGTGTGTGTGTGTGTGTGTTCAGTCTTCTAATGAAGACAAAAGAAGATATTTTGAAGAATGTCGAAAACCGGTAGCCATTGACTTCCATTTACTTCTTTTTTTCCTAATATTGATGTCGATGGCTACCGGTTTTCAACATTCTTCAAAATATCTTCTGTATGACCTATTAAATAGCTAAAAGATGCACTTATTTAACTAAAAAGGAACTGTGGAATGTTGAACATTTCATGTACTTACATGTTGTAGATATAATTACACAGTGGAGGGACTTTCAGACTCCAATGACGACTGACGAAATAACCTTATCAAGTTCATACACTGGATGTATAGATAGTGTATAATTTGTGAAATAGTTTATGTCAATCCAACATTTATCATCTTGCAAAAACACCCTAAATTACCTTTACGATGACACTCCGGCAAGTCCCGCCATTGGCCGTTTGGTCCACATGTGACCACTGAGGAGCCAATCAGATCAAACCCTTCACTGCAGGTGATGCTCATAGTGTCTTGCGGTGTGTATTGTGTCCTTTCTCCAGGTTTAATCCATCTGTTTTCCACAGCAGGTGCTGAACAAGTAACTTGTGGTGCTAAAATGGGGGAACAAAACGAATGATGTGTTTCCAAAAAGTTCCAAATCAATGGTCACACTATATTTAGAGGCATAATTGTTTCAAATAACAAACAGTTAACTATGATTTTAATATTTTATTTATATGTAAAATATGTTATATGTATATGTGGTAATCCATATACATCCGCAACACTGGTTTCCCCTTTGTGGCTTTCACAGTAGGGGGACATAGCTAATAGTAAGCAAAAATCAAGGTCCAAATCTTTAAGCATCATATACAGTTGAAACCAGAGGTTTGAATACACTCTAAAAAAAAGAAACATAGCCATTTTTTTTAAATGTCTGATGGTAAATCATACTAAACGTTTACTATTTTAGGTTCGCTAGGATTACCTAAATGATTTACATTTGCTAAATGCCAAAATAATGAGATTTTTTTTTTTTGAGAATTTTTAATAATTTCCAGACAGTCAAAAGTTTACACACATTTCCTTGGTATTTTTTAGCTTTACTTTTAAACTCTATAACTTGGTCAAATGTTTTAGGTATCCTTCCACAAGCTTCTCACAATAGTTTGAAGGAATTTCGGCCCATTTCTCCTGACCGAATTAGTGTAACTGAATCAGATTTGTAGGCTGTCTTGCTCGCACAAGCTTTTTCAACTCTGCCCACACATTTTCTATAGAATTAAGATCAGGGCTTTGTGATAGCCACTCCAAAAC